AAGTTTTAAACGCTGATTCGAAATATGATATTGGTTTTGTGAAAAAATTGAAATTTGATTGTGAAAACGTTAACTTACAGCTATTTTTCGCTGAGAAAAATGCCTATAACTTTTGAAGGAAAAACCATCAGCCCGGATCCTTTTCAGCTTTTTACAACCTCGATATCCTCTATCGATCGACGTATGAATGAATGAAAACGGAGGGGTACATGTCCATAGGTTTCCTCGTAAGCGGAGTAATCGACAAATGATTCAAAATGACCCCTAAGAAAACTCCAAGGCTGTCTTGTAGAAAAGGAATCTGTAGACAGACATTAGGAAGAGCCTTCGTCTTGTTGTAGGAGAGTAGCCTAGCTAATAAGAAATGCAAAAACGCATGTATCGTTGTGGATTTCTGGAGTAAAAAAATACCTCTCATTCTTAACAAGACGCTCAATCCAGTACAGTTAAAAACAGACGGTGATTTTTCGAAATTCTGAAAAACCTTTCTAATTTACTCTATTGTAGCTGATGACACCACACATATGTATTCAATTGGATTATCAATCGAAAGTGATATTATGCTTCATGAAAATGCACAATTTAACCAGAATATCAGTGATTTGAATCATAGTGAGTTTAGTACTGATGTTATTTCTGGGACAGAGGAGGAAGAAGAAGCCGATCAATCAGAATATCAGTCAACAACAAGAAAAGTAAATCCAGCCGTCACAACAACAAGAAAAGTAAATACAGCCGTCACAACAGCAGGCACTCAAGGTACAGGAGGATGGGGGGACTTAGAAGATATGAATCCGAAGAATACAAATGAAGACGATGATAATTCTGATACAGCTCCAAATGTACCAAAAACAACTCCATTAAGCTTGTACTCCTCAAATGTAAGATACAAAAAAAACTAAGCAGTACAAAAATCTACCGATTTGTTGTGTCTTTTTCAATCCTCTATAATGTAGTATAAATTTAACAAGTTAAAGCCAGAAGAAGCCGATTTTTTGAACAATCTTGAATTACCAGAATTTTCTGCAATAATTGCATCCAAGCTTAAAGAAGGTATGAACTCATCAGTGAATTGCACAAAATCAGTCTATGATTTTTGTTTCTTTCTCGTATTATAGGTGTGATTGGAGCAATGTTAGTCTCATTGGTCGAAGAGACCAGTAGTTTTTATTTAATGAGAGGGACGGATCTAAAACGACAACGAAAATTCCGATTATTCATTCATAAACTCGTCGAAAAATATCAGATACCCGTCACCACGCGTACCATTTCTGAATTGGTAAGTATTTTTTGCAAACTGGTTTTATTTGTGTCTTCGCGTCTTAGATCGAATCAGAGAAATTTGCCTGAAAGTTCAGTAAGGATGAGTCGATAACTTTTTTTAAGCTCGGTACAGCATTCTCAGCTTGTAGTTGACGTTTTCTTCTGCACTAGGAGATTCAGACAAGTTCTATGCATGATTATAAATTTTCTGCCTGAGTGTGAAATTTAACTGTTATGTAATCATCATTTTTATTTTCCTAGGAAATATTTCGAAAATCGCTGGCCGAAAAAATGCGACATCGGCGTTATTATATCAAAAAAAATCCAAACATAAATAGTTTCAATTTTAATATTTCAACGTCTGGTTTTTCTATTACAAAATCTGTACCACCACCTGATATTACAGTTAATTTTGAAGAGGAACACGATAAGATGATCAAGTGTCTCGAAGACGGAACAATCAACGATGAAACAAAATTAGCATTAATGTCGACTTTTGATAATCGTCGAGATCTGGTGAAAAAATATCGATCATCAAAAAGATCATTTGAAGAAATGTTTCTGTATTTCCAATATTTTAGTGACAAAACTATGGTACGATAAGCTTCCTAGTAAAAAAAACTGTACAACGTGCTCAAGAGAAGCCGAGTAATAGGTCGTACACGTATCGGCTCCCCGTTTTCTGTAGTATTTGTATAGAATACTTAAAACTAACCGAGAATAGGTAGGTAAGCTTTTTCAAGAAGTTTATGCAATAATGTGCAGAAGCAACCTCAGCGGAATCTCAGTTCGCCGAAAACGCTTTGTGCATTCATTCTTCATTTAGATTGTCATGGAATTTGAACTAATCCGAAAAATGAATGCTGATCAAATTGAAACAAAAATTACAGCGTTTTTAAATCGCTTAGCTGATTTTTTCGAAAAAGATGCATCAACCGAAGTAAGATGCAAAAGTCTTAGAGGAGTAAATAATCTATGGAATTTTTCTTTTATTCATATTTCAGTTGGCAGAAATGATACTTTAGGATCAGGCCTCCATCTTAATTAAATCAAGACCATTTCTGATTTATAAAAAGGTTTGCTACTTCAGCTTCACTCCGAAGGCAAATAAGTACCACAGAAGGGAAAGTTAGAGTGAACTAAAGCTATTGCTTACCTGGAACCACATGGAAGTTAATAAACTGAATTGACTTGTAAAAGAAGAGAGTGTTCACGTATTGTTACAGCTTTAAAATGAGGCGCGTTTTTTCTTATAGAAAAGTTGGTATTTTTTCCATATGCGTGTGTATTCTTTTCGCTCTTTCAAAACAAACCTGTACACCCGATGTTGTGAAAGAAAGAAAAAAAGAAAAGTGTTTAAAGAATACAACACATGGGAAAAAATTAAAATTTCGATTTATGCTATCTAGAAACTCAAACATTATTGGACACTCTATCTCGTACTGCTTTGACAAACCAATTTCTTAGAAAAGCAAAACACAAGGTTTTTCCTCAGACGAATGCCGACTGACCATAAACTTTCAACTGAAGGCTTTTAGATTGGAAGGAACAGTACTTTAGTGCACCACCTGCCTAAGAGAAAGCAGGTAACAGGTGGTGCATTAGAGCTTTCGCTGTTGTCGTGCAAATAAAGTTGTGGAAAAAAAATATTTTTGGAAAAGTCTTATTATAGTCTCAGAAACTCACAAAGGACAGACAATGTAAAGTGCCAAAAGACAAAGAAAAATCCAAAATGCTCAGCTTTTCAGCAATGACTAAGTTTCAATACATTTTTATAGTTAGGTAACGTTACAAAATCTCTTGCTTATCTAGTCGAATCTCAAAAAACCTCCCTAATCAATACTGATGTCTGCATCTCTCGTCTCTTCATTTAGGATGTATTCAAAGATGACATAATTGCGATGTGTGATAAAAAAAGAATACATCCTTATATCCTTGCCATTGATAATGTTGATTACCTGATTTGTTATTCGGACAATGTATTGATGGCTAACATCGAAAGCGTTGAACAAGCTGTTGTTATTCTGCTGGCATTTTATGCTGTTTTTAAATGCAGTTGTGAATCAGCATATCGTGGTAATTTATCATTAATACAGATAGCTACGTGTGATATGCCAGCAGAACGTAAACAGCTGTTAAACAAATCAACTAATTATGTCAGACAATTTATTGCACATTTGTACTAGCATTCGGTTCAATATCTAAAACCATGATACCAGACTTTTTGTTAGTTTAGATAAAACTGTAGAAGTAGAACTATAAAAATAAACCTGTGAAAATAAAACTATGAAAATAAAACCGTGAAATTCAAAACTGTTAAAAGCAAAACTATCAAGTCAAAACAGTCAAAGTATAAGCGTGGAGTGACAACCGTGCGGGACAAAATAGTGACATCGAAACCGTGTAACTTTTACCATAAAATTAAAACTATGATAGTAAAAGCGTCCGGTCAAAACTATAACACTGAAAGTGTGAAAGCAAAACCATAGGAGTAAAAGCGCATAATAAAGTCTGTAGAAGGAAAACCATAGCAAAAAAAACCGTGCAAAATCAAAACCGTGAAGAAAAACCGTGCCAAACTGACTGCGAGAAACCGCGTATAAAAACCGTCATGAGTTTCACGGCTTTTTTTTACCGTGTAGCTTATGGTGTCTGCCTGTACCAAAAAAGCATCCGATTTTTGAAGCAAAGCATCGTCATCTAGCTACGCAATATCTATTATTGTTCATCCCAGTGGATAAAAACTATTACACTTTCGAAAATGTCATAGTTGGCGCAATAGAAGACCATGATTCTATCATGGTTTCGCACATCGCGCCTTTTTGGTGAAAAATTACCTCCTATAAGCTATATTTTTCAAAAATTCCTCTCACTCTTACGAAAAAAATGTGTATCTCTCCCTCGTTTTGTTTCTTTACCTATATTTGTTTTAGCTTTACATCATGTTCAATGTTTTTAGTGCGTTGAAAATGAAAATTAGAATTTTCGAAAACGTCGACGTTTGTCACAAAAAAAAGGAATTTTTAAATTAAATGTAATAAATATGAATTTAAAATCAGCAAAATGTTAGGCTACAAACTCAATTGCTATCATTATATGAAGAATCTAGAATGTCCATATCCCAACAGATCAGATTAATATTATTTGTACACTTCATTACCGCATTCGATCATATTTATTAAAAAGCCCTGCTGATAAAGTTATTTCGTTTGTGTGTGTCACAACATCTATGGTTATGGGTAAAGAATTGGCTTCACAACAGATAAGCATGCACATCTTTAGGAGGATTAGAATTAAGGTTATTTGGTATTGTATCACCAGTTAGTGTCATTTCGTCCATTATTTATATACCATACATAAGTGACCTGAAGAATCAGGATGCGCATTCGAATAATTATTTGTGTGCTGGGCACTTTCTTTTCATGTACCATTAGGGAACCTCTTGTCGTGATGCTTGTTTTGAGTTGCAAAGATTAGGTCAGCAGGCTTTAATTAATTTGTAGGTATATTGTCAATATTAGTTAACCCTTTTAGTATCATTGCTCGACCATGATAGCTAGAGACTTCTAGTTTTGTGTGGTCATAAATCTTACCGAATGCTGATCACCCGCCAAGTTTGGGCCTCTTTTACTAGATGGTTCGTGAGAAGTAAGCGTTTCATTGCTTTTCCGTAAAATGCTAATAACTCCTGATCCAAGAGAAGTGAAAGCTTTTCCTTTTTACCAAAATACAGCACTGCCTTTCCTTTATCTATGATATGAACTTAAAGTGCCAGCTCTTAATAGTTACTGAAATACAGCTATTTTACGATCGAGGGTCACTTTTGAAGTTTGAGACCCTCTTCCAAAAGAATTCATAACTCAGCCTAGGAATATTGTTTTCACTTCGAAATTGTACCAGATACTCTAAAATGTCTTTAGATTATTCACACAAAGTATGAGAGTTAACTATTATACGATTCGAGATATTCATTGAAAATGAGCACGCGCTATCAAAACATAGATAGGAAGACAAGGGTGAGGCACCAAGGGTCATCCATTCTACCATGTCTTCTGTGCTTAATGTTCGTCATAATCGTGTAAAAATATGATAATGGCAACTAGGCATGCAACAATCCCAAACTAGGAATCGCTGATCGGCACCGAACGGTTTGTTACCGAACATGTTCGGTAACAAACCGTTCGGTGCCGATCAGTGAACCCTAGCTTGGGATGGTTGCATGCCTGATCTGGGCGAAAGGCAAATTGAATGAAACTGAAGCTTTTGAAGGAAGTAACCAGCGAGAAGATAGATTAACTAAAGCACAATGGGAGCGAATGTGCCTTCTATCGGATCGCTATCGAACGTGTTCGGACGAAGATTGTAAATACGATAATTTATATTTTGCTCATCAGAGACATCGACGAACACTCTGCTGACAAACTATTAGGACAAAGTACCATAAACCTTATAAAGATACATTCAAATTAGAGCTGCAACTGTCTGTCTACTTTTTTCTGCACAGTGAGAAAATTTTCAACTTCCTGGAATAAAGTAAACATAAATTTGCTGCTCTGATTCAAACTTTTCTTTATATGACTACCTACGGCTACGGCGTAATCAAGGCTGCTTCTCCGTTTGGTGTAATCTTCATCATTTTTGCTGTTTTACAAAGATTTCTTTCATGTGTTTCTTCGTTCTCATGTTCTTAGCTTTGATAAACTATTTTTTTTAAACCTTTGGTAGCGATTCAGTAGAAGACACATTCGCTCACATTGTACTTTAGTCTATTTTCTCACTGGTTAGTTCCTTCAAAAGCTTCAATTTTCATTCAATTTACCTTTAGTCCAGATCAGGCATGCAACCATCCCAAGCTAGGGCTCGGTGATCGGCAGCGAACATGTTCAGTAGCGAACCGTTCGGTGACCGAACATGTTCGGTTGCGAACGGTTTGGTGTATGCCTAGTCACAACATATCTAACTTAGGTATCGGTGTGTTTGTAAATGAACAATGAAAAAAGTGCAAATTCTTTTTGAATAGTATCTACACGTTTTCTCGTCTCGGAACTTTATCAATTCGTCTACGGTGCATATGTTTTTATGCATTTATTTATCAGTATTTTGTATGGTTAATTTAATTCTTTTTTTATTCATCCACATGTCAACAGGCAAGAATAGCACGATTGTGTTAACATTATCTTCGTAAAGTGTACGGTTGTTATTGCATCGATATCCATCGTCCTCTTTGTTTATCAGGTGAACGGACGTTTCTGAACCGCATTTATGTATATTGGTTAAAATACCTAAGTTTAGTCGGAGAGCAGCCTGATTCTTCCGCTCTGTTCCTCCATTGAAGCTTGGATCGATTTCTTCGAGGAGGGACACGACATATAATGACGCAGGTGAAACTTTATTTGCGAAGACATGAGCATGCCGTTGTGACATCGAGTAATTTCTTGACACATCATAAAAACTCTTTTTGTATTTCGTTCGATTTTATAAATATCTGAAAAGCGATATTCGACTAAATAATTGCTTGGTCAAATCCATCATCGATTTCTTGCTTAACTCGCGGTAGAAGTTTTTCGCTAGGAAACGAAAATGTTCTTTGTAATTCTTATACAAATCGTCTAAAATTTGTTGTGTAAAATTTGTTTCAATCCCGGCACCGGTTTAAAATCCTTCAATCGGTGGTATGTTGGTACTAAAATGCCTTGACGTGAACTTCCAGAAGTAATTCGAATCGTTTGCTGAACATTTGGCTAGGAAATTTTCATACTGCAAAATAAGATATTCTCTAACCTGAAAGTTCAGAAGACTTGCTCAGTCGCGCCGCGACCAAGCAAGTCTTCTGAAGAAAGGTTTGTTGCACCAAGAGTCGTGGCGCGACTAAGCAGAGTTCGGCTGTTGAGATTTGCGACATTACGAACTCATCACGACTCTTAAAAATTCCTCTTCTCTCTAGATAAGAATTTTTCAGGATCCCGCCGCGACTTCGCGACTCAATAGCGACAGCGCCGCGACAACGGGAGTTCATAGCGATCGCTTGCGCGACATCGCGTACGCTCCGCCACTAGGGCGCAAGAGTCGACCTGGGTTAAGTAACACTCCAGAGCTTAAGCACTTAAAGTGACACTTAACTCGAAGTTGCACACACCTAAAGGTACTTAAAGTGAGGTTTTTCCCTCTTGAAATGAATCCAGCAAATCGATATTGTAGGCTGATTTATAACCAAGATTAACGTATTTAACATTTTTGATTGATGAAGATTGCATATATTTACATCTAATGATCTAATAACAAAAATATTCATATTTACATTGTTTGTCTATTTTTGGAATAACTCGAGAACAAATGCTGATAGAAACTTGCGCTTTTCACCATTCGATAGCCAAGGCTTCATGTGACCAGAAAGAGCCCTTGATATGGAGAAAATAAATGACTGAAACCGTAAGAAATGTAACCTGTATGTCGAGTTATATTACTACAACTTTCCCAAATAAGAAAAGATCATGAGTGAAATTAATCATCCCATAGACACGTATTTTTGTCCATATCAGAACGGTGGACTACTTTTCTACAGTAAGCTTCCCAGTCAGTCATAGTCATTCTAGAAAAGCACAGAAAACTCTGTTTACGAAAAATTTTACGCGTTTAGGGAGTTTCAAATAATAACGTGCAAGAAGCTGCGAGTGTGTAAAAATAAACCGCAGGAACACGCGTTTAAAGCCTTTATTTCCACGGCACCGTGCGTTTCTTGCGGTTTATTTTTACACACTCGCAGCTTCATGCGCGTTATTATTCGAAACTCGCTAAACGCGTAAAATTTTTCATAAACAGAGTTTCCTGCGCTTTTCTAGAATGACTGTGACTGACTGGGTAGAAATAAAATTCTGCTTCTTCAGCAGAAAGTGCGCTGCGAACATTCAATGAAACAAATAAGTTTTATCGACACTGGCTTTTCTTTCTTTGAGATAACGTAAGACTCTAATTGAATGTACATGTCTGTCCTACGTCGATCAACAACTTTTTAACAAGTCGAGAAGTTCTGCTGTGAGCAAAAAATACGAGCCCACACCCAGACAATTAATTGCACTCAGACACTTATTTTGTACAGCAGAAACGTTAATAGGATGGCTCAGTATATTAAATAAATCTTCTGTATAATGAGTCGTTTTTCGAAGGTTTTTTGCTAGATTTTGAACACTTTGGAATAATAAAGAAATGATGGTTGCAAATATATCGGTAACAGCACACGATAAAGTCCATAAATTTACATGCTCAGCAAAATTAAAAGAACAAATTGTCAAAGTTACGTATCAGAGATTTGTCAGAAGATGAACAATCAATAGCAATTTAAACGCTTCATGTTACTTTATCATCCAGGCAGTAATTTAAAACAAATATCGTATAATATAGATATATTTGCATATTTAATGTGATATGATTGTAATTGTGTCACGGCTGTTACTATCCGTTTCAAAATTCGGTGCACTGGCTCATTCATATCCATCTAAGATACGTTTTTACAAGGTTTTTGAAGTTTTTTTGAAAAACAAATGTTGCTCCGAGATTGAAAATAATCGATAACCTATGTTTCGATGCATTGCTGATAGTCTAACCTAACGACGGAGACGCTCTAAGGCTTCGGGAAAAGGGTTCATAGCGCCTGAACCAAGCAAAACCAAACTCTTGCTTAGATCTTATTTCGTAGAAGACAGTTTGGACTATCTACCTATGAAGAAAAAAGCGATAGATTACTATGTCGGTTTTTCAAATCTAGAAATCCGAGCTGGTTTTCCAAAGATCTTTTAGAAAATCGATCTTCCGAATGTTTTCGAAAGATGATTTTTGCTTGCGAAAGAGCTTTGATGAATTATGCTAAACAGTTTAAAATCAAATAAGAGACTTCATGTAACGGGACGTTATGTATGAGATAATGAATGAATAAAAGGAGGATGAAATGAGTAAAAGATCGAACAGACTTTTCTAAAAAAATTGTAAAAACTGGTTACATCTGAATATTTTTTGTCACTATGGCGCTAACTTCGTCTTTGTCATATACAACCTTGATTTTTCGTTATAGTTATTAGTTGTGTCAAAGTGTAAAATTTGAGGTTTGTCCGTAATTTCTGTCAAACGTAAACAGTACGAACATTTATTACTTAAAATAAACTAACTTAATACTGAATTTGTTTCTAGAAAAAAATTTCATTGAGTGCTACCTGTTATTTCGTTACAAAAACGAGTTTTTTACTGAAGAATCTTATCATAGACTAATGGAAATTTAATACTAGTGGGAGCTAAGGAAAGTAACTTTTAAGCAACTTAATGTGGTGGAGCGCCATCTAATCCTTTTGTTGCTGTGAATGAGTGTACGAGTAACTCAATCATGAATAACACGGATTTGCATCCATACAAATACAATGAGTGTCATGATTCATTTTACAGCGGCAAACAAAGTTTTGTCAAATCATTTTTCTCAGGAAGAAAAAGAGATAGATATTCATCATCGGATAGTCATAGGTGTGAGCTACTTTTCTTATTAATTTTAACCTTTCAAGCTGCGTTATTTTATATACGAAGGCTTCACATAAGCCACATTTTTGTTGACATATTTGTTAATCATCATTTTTATCTAATAGTCAAATTAACTACAGAATACCATAGTCTGCACACACGTTGCATCTAAGTTGTGCAAGTACTTGATGTTGTGTAAGGGAGACAAGAAATAACATTTTGTTTTTTACTTTTTCTTTCTTTCTTTTCCAGCAAAAAGAAAAATAGCACGTAGTTTTTATTATTAAAGGAGGAAAACAAAAAATGTTACCGCTATGACACGTCGTATATTTTTTGATTTTTGGTTGACTCATTCTGCATAATTTTCAAAGACTATATAAAGAAAATTTGTTTCATTTAGATTTCATTTACATATGAATCTTTTTTAAGATGACATCGGAACCTATAACAATCACAACCTCGGATACTACTATTTCGAATATAACAACAGCACCATCAACAACACCGACAATAATCCGTTCTAACATTGATAAAGAATGTCCAATAAAATATGTAACAGTGTACAATGATCGTGCAGAAATAACGCGTTCATTTAATCAACAATTTGATCTGGATGGAACATACGAACTAATATTGGATGGATTTTCAAACCATGTTGATCAAAATTCATTTCATGTTAAAGGGGGTACGGGAAAAGCAACAATCCTTGAAGTTTCCTATCATACACGGTACGAAAAATCACAAACCGATACAACTGTAGCTGAGACAAAACATAAACAAATACAAAAGCAAGTGTTCGATTTGAATAATGATATCGCACAACATCAACAGGAGTTAGATCGGATAAATAAAAATATCGATTGGTTGGATGGTCATGCCAATCACTTGATGAATAATAAGGAAAAGAATGATAATTCTCTTCAGGAAACCGAACAATTCTTAGATTTTTATTATCAAAAATTGAAAACACTCGACGAGAAGAAAATGACTGAAGAACACAAATTGAAATCATTAAATGAACAACGTGAGACATTGATGAAAAATTTGAATACTTATGGCACAAACTTATCATCAAATGTAATGAATGAGCATCGTGAAATTACAATTCTGTTGAATGTTCAAGATAAAAAATCTCTAATTAATTTAGAAATCTCTTATCTGACGTTAAACTGTTCATGGAAAGCAAGTTACGACGTACGCGTAACAAGTGAAAATAAATCGACACAAACAGAACTCACCTACTATGGGATCATTACGAATAAATCAAATGAGAATTGGATCAATGCACACTTTTCCTTATCAACAGCAACACCATCCTTGGGTGGAACGCCACCGAAATTATCAACATTGAACGTCAACTATAAGCAACCATATTATCGTCCATCATCACGAGATTACTATGCTGACTGTGCATCTGCAGAATCCGTTACGTTTTATAAACAAAGTAAAAAAGTATCAAGACTACTACCAAAAGTATCCATGCGTCGTAATTCGAATGCTTATGATAGGGAAGCCATTCTTGAAAATGATGATGAGGATGAAGTTGGAATACTTGTATCCAAAGCTGAAACAGGTTTAAGTTCAACAAATTTTACCATACCACGCTCAGCCACTATCGAATGTGATGGTAAACCACATAAAGTGACCATTGGTGTTCTCTACTTAGAATCTAAATTTACCTATACATGTGTGCCGAAACTCTCACCGTATGCTTACTTGAAAGCCACAACAACCAATACATCCGATAAACAATTATTATCAGGTCCTATTAATGTCTTTATGGATAATAATTTCATTACTCATAGTCAAATTGGCAATGTATCGATTGATGAAAAATTTGATTTATATTTAGGTATTGATTCCAATGTGAAATGTGAATATAAACCTGTACATAAAATGAATGATATTCAAGGACTCATTTCTAAAGTCAATCACGAATATGTTAAGCATGAGACAAAGATAAAAAATTTAAAAGCAAATGATATTTGCATATATGTCTATGATCATTTGCCATTATCAACAGATGAAAAAATTAAAGTAAAACTTTTACAACCACAAGATATCGGTAAATTAAAAGAACATTCAATAACATCTGTATCAGTCATAATAAATGATGATAATAATATGGAATGGAAAGTATTACTGAAAGCAAAAGAAGAATGTAAATTACCACTGGAATATTTGATTGAATGGCCAAAAGAGAAACAAATTGAATATAAAGAATGATTAAACTTCATTGAACTTCTTTTTCTGTTTTTATCTGTCGAATGCCTAGCGTCAAAAAAAAGAAGAAATCAACAACACTTGAAAAGAAACATATCGAATGGTGCAAAGTAGATGATTATTGTCCCAGGTGAATTTCATGTTTTATTCTGATCACTGGCATTTAAAACTGCAAAGAAAATTATTTCTAGAGCATCAAAACATGCCGTATGATCTACAATCTTGCTTGAGCAGAACTGCTTATTGTTTGTTGATGATACAAAAATGAACTGTTGTACAATACGATAAATGTCATCATGAGCACCTTCTTCTTCTGTCATCATCATCCTTATCATTCATTGTTGTTTCATATTTATTCTTGTCAATCTACTTTTTTTAAAAGCTTTCGTTACTTGGAGTTTTGTATGTGCTCTTCTATATTTGGCATTATGAGAAAATATTGTTCTCTAAAAGAAAATCTCGTTTTTAATCTTTTCTCTCTGAACGGCACAGGTTTTGGCTCTATGTATGGGCTTGAATCAGAACGCTTTGCTGGTGAAGTAGATTTGTCAAATTAACTGAATCATCTGGCTTTATCTTGTAATCTCCTTTTTTGATACAACTGGTCTCTTTTTTATAGAAATTAAGATTACTTAAGCCTCCCCTCCTCGAAATGCAGCTGTTCGTAGCTTCCAGATTTCTCAGCAACGAAACGTTGTGGAGAACACGGATTGGTCTTAAATTGACGAAAGAACATGTGAATAGAGACTGACAGAGCCGCATTTTTGATATTTTTCTTTTAAAATTAATGGTCAGCATCAAAAGTCCAAAATTCAAAAAGTCTCATTAATTTTGGTAAAGATGTTCTCTAACCACAAATCTAGACCGAATATCGAAAATCGGGCTCTATTAGCTTCTAGCCACATGTGTCAGCTTCAATTTAAGACCTTCCGGAGCTCTCTGCGGTATTTCGTTACCGCGAAATCCTGCAGCTACGAAATGGTGTTAAGGTGAAGGTCGCTTTCGAGATACGGTGGTGCCAGTATGCGAAAAGCACTTTGTATGAATAGGTACAGCAGAACATTAAAGTCAATGCTGTACAAAGTGGCTAACTCGTTCAGTGATCAGATATGTACTATATTTGTTGGAATATCGAATCTACAGAGTTTGGGTTTATTTTAGAGAAAACGTCTTAGGCTATCTCTATCGGGCTTTATTATGTCTGCCAAAGTGTGGCTTAGCTTTTGTTCCACAACCGAAAATGGACGTGGTCACGGTGAGGTGTCTGAGGTTTTATGAGATAATTATTAAAAAAGGTTTGTGTTGAATGATTTCCCTTAGAGCACGTAAAATTTTTTATTACATTTGTGTCAAAGGTATGCTACGAAGTAGATACAACATCATCGATTGAGTTATTAATGTCGCGTGCCGGAACTCATTAAATTCTTACCACCTATATGAAACGAGGTAATGTTTACAAATTTAATTTGGTTTAATAAAATAAAAGACTATTACTGTTACTCTATCACTATACATACTATTGACAATATTGACCATGTGTATTTGAAGGACACAAGCATTCGAACAGATGAACCCTTTTTTCATTGAGTGTGAATGGAAGGAGAGCAAGAAACATCGATCAGTTTCATCTGTGTGCACTTAATTTGTGTCGCAGTTTATTTATTCAGTCTTTTATAGAGAAACAGAACAGAAGTAAATGACTTAAACAATTCATTCGTACACGATAGATTTTACTTTCGCAAAATGCTTCCACTAAACAAATGAATTGTAAATAGAACTTTTTAGATGAAATATCCGTTTCAGAATACAAAAGCAGTGGATATTTTTTGAATAATTTTTGATAGAAAGCAGCCAGAGAGTTTCAATTTTCGTCGTGCAAAAGAGAATACTTAGAGGCTTAGAAGATCTTTGGAAGATTACGTCGTGTGTAAAACTTTTCTAATAGGATTATGTTGATTCTTTTCATGGGCTGATAGCCCGGGATGTGCTCTTGAAAATGGGAGTCAAGCGAGACGTAAATTTTCTACGGCTCTGGCATTGTATCGGATTTCCTACAGGTCCCAGGACTGGCACCTGGTGACTATCGGTAGTCTTGAAAGCCAAGGGATTATAGGTAATTGATCATGTTGAGTCTCGTGGCAATATTTGCTTTTGTAAAAAGTTTTAAAAATTTAGCGCAAAAGGAAGTTTTACAAAAATACGATCTCTTGTAAATAGGATTTAGAGTAGCCTAATTGCTTTACATACTGACGTTTTGAGCTAGTTCTGATGTATTTTGAGTGAAGAATGAATTTTTTAATATTAGGTGAAAACAGCAATTTTCGTAAAGCTACCTTTTTTCACTGGATTTTTAGAACTTTTTATGAAAGACACGAGACTCAGCATGATCGATTACCTATAGTCCATTGGCTTTCAAGGCTATCAATGGTCACCAGGTGCCCGTTCTGAGATTTATAGAAAAATCCGGTACAGCGTCAGAGCCCTAGAAAATCTACGTCTCGCTTGACTCCCATTTTCAAGAGCACATCCCGGGCTATCAGTCCCTGAAAAAATCAACATAATCCTATTGGAAAAGGTTTACACACGACGTGGTTTTCCAAAGATCTATACTAAAAAGTCTGTTTTAGAAAACTCTTTTGAAAATAATTGTGTTTGTGGAAACATGCCAAAAAAGGACAATGTTAGTATTCAGTTGTACTCCAACTTTTTTTCTCAAGATCGACAATCTGTTTTACGCTGGAGTACCACCAAAAGTATGAAAAATTAATGATAGTGCCAAGAAGGAATACATCATGACGCTCCTACCATTTTGCAAAATCTATCGTGATAATGAGATTCCTTCGAGTTCTGTCACGTAATGACTCGTCAGTGTTGTAGTTTGAAATACGATGTGTACCTCTTAAAAACGCATCCCGATAACCATAACTTAGATCTTAGGATAACAGAGGGCGTTTTCAATATTTTACCTTCCAAAAATGGTAGGTGCCAAAAGTCAAAAAATTGAAAAAAGTCTCATTTATCTTTAATCATAAGTCTACAAAGAATATTAAAAGTTGGGCGGGCTCTGTTAGCCTCTAGCTAAGGCTAGTAGCTTCAATTTAAGACCTATCCAAGCTCTTCACAATGTTTCGTTAATGAGAAATCTTCCAACTACGAAATGGTGTCAAGGTGAGGATCGCTTCAAAGATATGATGGCCCCAGTGTCCGGTGCATGTTTTCGAGTTTCTAGCAAAACTCTTATATCTTCTGATTGAAACAACATCCAGAATTAGGGATATCTTATTTTACTAATTATTTTTATCTTATAACACCGAAATTTTCAGTCTTGATATTAGAGCGTTAACATTTGATCATGATCAACTAATTTTTGCATTTGAAAACGGCCGTTCAATTATTTCCTCACTTTTCATTCCATTATCATCGGATTTTGTTGTTTTGCGAATAGTTATCTATATTTTCACTATCAATAAAATTTAACAAATTATATCGTCCGATAGTTAAATTTTGAATATTTTGCGCTAATAAGAGTAAACGTTTAATAAATAATTTTCCGAATGGACTCTTCAATTTTAGCTTTAATGTTTTAATTTTATCCAATATTAAGTCTCTGTTATTGAGCATAGCATCATCAAAGCAACAATTAACATTAACTATTATTGTTCGAAGATTTAAAAATGTGTGTTAAATAAACTGAAAATAGTTTAATGTATAGGTCTGATAATAACCTAACGATAATGTTTTTATTTCTAGTATCAACAATTAAGAAATACTGCCTTGATTTAAATGATAATTGATAATTAAATTCGATATTTGGATAATAGATGAAGAATGTTCAAAGTAAATTGGTAATGATAATATTGTATACGATCTATAACCAGAATTATTGTGATGACACATTATTGTCTACTGTGTCCAATGGGAAGATTTGAATGTTTCAATTATTTGTTCGGAATGGCTATTGCCACCACCGGTGGTGTCAACAAGGAGCTATTGCCACCACCAGGTGGTGTCAACTACAACTATTGCCACCACCAGGTGGTGTCAACTACAACTATTGCCACCACCATGCAAAATCAAAGAGTAGGTGGTGTCAACTACGGCTATTGATCAAGCTAATTTTTAAGAATGGGGCTGTCTACTGCTGAGGGCTACGTAATCCTGAAGGCTATCGGTTTGCAACTTCTGGGGCCATGCTAATAGTGTCAACTACAGCTATTGCCAAGCCCCAAGCAAAATCAAATAAACATATAAAGCCGCAACTTTCCGAGTCGAGCGGGCGTCATGAGGTCGAACAGTACTGCGACTTTATGCGTTATTCGCGTGTTCCACAAAAACGGCGTTAGAAACGAACAAAGACTGATTTTTCTTGTTACATTTCGCTTTAGCAAAAACAACAAACAATGCCTAGTGTTCAACAATTTAAAACTTTGTACATTTAAATAGTCTTTCTTTTTAATTCTATTACTTTACTGAATAAAATAAATACCAATACAGCTACTAAACACTAAAACAATCTCCAAAAGCAAATCATATTTTGACATGGTCTCCATACAAAACTGTGTCGCACGGTGGTGTCAATAGCCGTAGGTGACACTACCTACTCTTTGATTTTGCTTAGGGGTGTCAATAGTCGTAGTCGACACCACCTACTCTTTGATTTTGCTTGGGGGCGTCAATAGCTGTAATTGACACCACCGGTGGTGGCAATAGAGCTACCCTTATTTTTTTTATATCAATAAGTGATTATTTGTCTAAGACATCCATTAAAGAATTTCTTAGTTCTCCCCTCGAAAGAGACACAAATTAAATGAGATTCTTGATAGAAATGAATAGTTTCTTATGAATTCTAAGTATACACATTAGGTCTGACTGATAACAGACACTGAAAGATGAAAAACAAATGAATAAGTATCAGTAACATAAAGAAAATGAAAAAATAAAATAAAAAAGAGAGAAAGAAAATGATAGATTAGTGTTCACGTAAAAGAAGAGAGTCGTGAACA